GGCAGAGGGGGGAGCGCCGGGCCGGTCCACAGCAGCGTAGCCCAGACACAGGACCCGTCGACCCCCACCACGGGGCGCAGAGGAGCGGAGAAGGCACGGAGCACCGTCCGACAGCCGAACAGGCAGGACGCCGCGACAGCGCGACCGAGGACAACTGTGCGACGACCGACGGTCCAAAACCACAACGAATTGCGACAGGAGAGGAGGGTTTCTCCCATGACGAGAGTAAACCGTAAAAAAACCCGTAAAACAAACGCTAAAAAAGAATAATAGCGGGTGAGCAGCGGCAGCCAGACGCGCCAGCGTTCACTCAACCCGGAAGTGTCAGCGTCAGTACAGCCGCAAAGTATTTGTTTACTTCAGACCACGGCTGGCTTGACTCTTCTTCTCGCGGTTCGTTCAGGTGCCTGTTTGACAGTCAGTTGACGGGCTCCGGCTCCCGCTTCCTTCCACGCTCGCGGGACGACCGGCTGCAGTTTGAGGTGGAGGCATTCAAGTTCCAGGAGGACGAGAGAGGCGCGGTGAGACCGTCGACCTTCGGACTGAACTCCAGCCCCCGTTTCCACAATGACCCCCCGTGAGCTCGGGTCCCCCCCCCCAAAACTTCCTGGTGGTTGTTCTTCAGATCTACATCACCTGCAACTTGAAGGCCACGGCTGCGACGTCGCTGGCGGATTCTCTCAACAAGGCCTGCTCTTTCAACAACGGGTGAGTCCGCCGCTCTACGTGCGCCGCCCACTCCGCCTCGCTCCTTGGATGCTCCTCCTCATGCTGCATTCCCAACTGACGGGAATTTTGGAAAAAAATGGCACTTTGAGTTTATGGAATCGTCAAAAGGGTCCAGTCAAACATAAAAGTGGCCAAAGTTTCGAGCGTTGTTGATTTCTCGAAGGCGGCATCAAACTTGCATGTTGTCCTCAGGTCGTTCCATGTAAAAAAAAAAAAATAATAATAAAACGTCCGCCAACATAGCACTAAATTACTCTGGAGGCGTTTGTCTGACGTTACAGCGCCGTCGCTCTCAAATAGTAGAAAAATGATTTCCTTTGAGGCACCTTGCTGTCACGACAGATGTCATCTTGTACCACCACGTGCCAGTATTTGATAAGATGGAAATATTAAATATTCAAAGGATCAACGTGTAAAAAAAAAACAAAAACGGTTATATCCTAAAAATGTTACTTTTTCATGTATACGCTCCAATCGTGTGTGTGTGTGTGTGTGTGTGCGATGGGGGGCAGGTGGACAGAGGCAAGCGGGGTCCATCAGGCGTGTTCCTGCTGTGATGCGGACTGTGGGACAGGAAGTCGGAAGCAAGTGCGAGGAAACCAGAGTCCCCTCGCCACAACGGGTTTGTATCATGACACATTGTCGAAATAAAATGGTCTACTGAGGCTCTTTTTTTTTATGTGCAAAATATCAAACTGGAGTTTCTGTGAAAGTGTTTGTTATTGAATGTCTCATTTTTGTGACTCTTGACAATTGCAGGTGCGAAATGGGAAGAGGCGGTTGCGGTCGGACCAATCACAGTGTACCAAAGACCAGCCAAGTGACTTTTTTTTCATGAAATGGATTAAATTCCTGTCATCGCAATCACATGACCTCCCTCGATTTGCTTCAACGAAATCCCAGAGAATCTACATTTGAGTTCAACAGCACCCCCTGCTGTTTCAATAGTCTTGTACTCTCGCAGCACAGTAATCCAATCCATTTTTTTCGTCATATAGCGCGTTCAATACGGCGAATATGTCTTCCGTATGTTGCTGGGCACCGCTTTTGTTCGGGGTTGAGGCATTTAAGATTTCTGCACAACCACACAAACTGATTCGAAGCAATGACGGCAACGTGGCTGAAAATGTATTCAACCCTAACTTGTAGATATTTTTGAATGTTGAGAGAAATTAGATTTATAGTTAATTGTATTCAAAGAGTAATGCCCTTCCAAAAAGTCCAAAATAAAACTTGAATATGAACTTAAAATCTTTAAAACGTGAACAACCATGAATACCCGCATTTGAGGCGAGCCGTGAATGCAGCATTAATTAGGCCACTCCCACTTCCGGTAAGTACCCGTTATCTCAAGGTGGAAAAAAAAAAACAACCGGAGCACAATCCGCTCGTCGGTGGTCACTCGGGCCGATTGATTCTCAGTTTCATTTTTGGGTCCTCCTCGTCCACTCTGAGCTGAGGTGGATGGGGCTCACGTAGCCAACATGGTCCAGCCGAGGTAACCTTTTCCCCGGGCCTGAAGGACGCAGCCGGCCCGATGGAGAGGCCGGTAAGGCTGCTGCTCTTGTCCGAGCTGCGCGTCCGCAACGTCGGCCACGAAGTGAGCCTGTGCCGCTCCCTGCTCACCTGGAAAAGGCGAACCTTCAGCCCGATGTACCACCCGTTCAGAGCCAGTAAGAATCCAAAAGAGCCCAGCCCGGCCGACCCGAATCGCGTCCCACCATTTGTTCCCTTTGAACACACCGAAGAACGAGAAGTTAACGACGAGTCGAGAGCGTTTGTGTCGCGTCAATGTCACGCGCGCAGATGTGAAATTCAGATTTGTTTTTTTTTGAAAATACGAAACTGGGATGATTAGACAGCATAGGTTTTCTACAGCATCCGCTTACGTAACTAGCCACGTGCCACTATCCACTCTAAGAAAAGTCTGCGTTTTCCGTCAAAACATGAATCGAGTGTGTGTGTGTACAGTAATTTTTTTTTTTTTGAAGATACGAAACTGGGATGATTAGACGGCATAGGTTTTCTACAACATCCGCTTACGTAACTAGTCACGTGCCACTATCCACTCTAAGAAAAGTCTGCGTTTTCTGTCAAAACATGAATCGAGTGTGTGTGTACAGTAAAATTTCGTTTATCGCAGTCAATGGGGACCAAAACCACCCGCGATAAACGAAAATCCGCGAAGTAGTGACCACCCACCCCATAGGTTCATGTACATGTGTATGAGTATAAAAAATATTTATAAGGCCAAATTTAATGGTATACATGCATGTAGAAGTAAATTTTGTATTAATTAACATTACTTAATGCTGTATACTAATAGATTTAAACATGTATAAGTTAGGTTAGGTGAGTGTATGAATAACAAGATACAATAAACACACATGTAGTACTGTATATGTTGCTCTATGTGACTCACTGTTGTTTTGCTGACTTTCACTGCTTATGTTTGAAGAAATCCACGATGCACCAAAGCGGTGATAAATGAACCGCCCGAAATAGCGAGGGATCACTGTATATATAAATATTTAAAAAAAACAGCGGCTTGATTGTTGTTTTGCTGACTTTCACTGCTTATGTTTGAAAAAATCCGCGATGCACCAAAGCGGCGATAAATGAACCGCGAAATAGCGAGGGATCACTGTATGTATAAATATTTAAAAAAAAACAGAGGCTTGATGAGTAAACCAAAGACGTCCCCTTTTGTAACGAGACACAAGGTAAATTAGCGTGCTTGTTTGTCACTTTGTGACATGAGAAGATGAAAAATGCGGTTCGTTCGACCAGTGACGAGCAAGCTGTTATTGTTAGTCCATTTGTGATCGTTTCCTCTCTGTAAGATCACTTGAAGTGGCGTCACTGCTAATCAAGAGTTTAAAAACAAAAACGTGACAAGTAAAACAGTCCATTCCTGTTGACTAGCGGTGACGTTCGGACTTCAAGGTCTTCATGATGGCTGATGGTGAACGCCTTCAGTAGGTTATTGAATTCGTGATGTCACCTCAGTCATGTCGCCATGACGACAGCTGGAACAGTCGAACCCTTTTGTGAATCTTTAACATTTGTTGGCTGAGTGCGGCTCAGCTCTCCTATTAGGTTACACGCCAGCAACACGCTTGCGTCACACTTAAATTAAAATGATCTCATCCAAAAGGTTGTGCTTTGTCAATCGTACTTGGTCCGTAACTTTGTGTTTTTCCCTAATTTCATTGGGGCCAACCCGGTTATGAAATAGATGCTCTCAAAAATCAAAATGAAGCGCTCTTAAACCATTTGGGTTCCTGTTCATGTTAGTTTGGGGACGGGATAAGTGACAAGGTGTCGTGTCTGAGGAATGTCCTTTCATGGCCTGGCTTCCTTTGAACTGTCCAACTTTTGGACTCAAATGAGCACGTTTGTGAACGTCCCCACATTAGTCGCATTGTTTCGCAATCAGGAAACGGCGGAAGTTAGGACCTCACGTCGTAGTCACGTGAATATTTTGCCAGGAAACATTTTAGCACTAATGACATTTGCTCATGCCTGTGTTTGCGTCAGGTGTGTGTCACAGCGTGTGTGTGTCAGAGATTGTCGCTGTGCGCGAGGAGGAGGAGGAGGAGACGAAAAAGGAAGAGGAGGAGAAGAGCGGAAGAGACAACGGCAGCTGGAAGAAGATCAGAGAGAGACAAGACAAAGACCGCGGGCTTTCTTTCACAGGTGCCATCACCCAACTTTGACATGTAAATCTTGATGATCACCAAGCAGGATTGGTCTCGCGCGTTTGGCAACCTCTCATCACCTCGAGAGACCCCCGTCAAAGAGGAAAATCCGCCAAGTAGGTATCAACGTAGATGGCGACACACCTAATATGTCAAATTTTTTTGTGTTGTTCTTGCGTTGCAGTGTCGTACGTGGAGAGGTGTCGGCAGCACCGCTGGCGGTGCGCTCATGTCACCTTCACCTGTCCACAGGTGGCGCTGTGCCACCGCTGGGTGAACACCATCAGAGAGCAGCTTGCGGCCATCAGTATGTACCAAAAAACCCACACACACACACACACACACACACACACACACACACACACACACACACACACACACACACACACACATACACACAGCTGCCAGGTAGGTTGTGTGTATTGTTGCGTTCGTTGCCTTGTTGCAGGCAGCAGGCCCACTCAGCTGCTGGTGTACATCAACCCGTACGGCGGCAAGCGTCAGGCCAAGCGCGTCTACAAGCAGAAGGTGGCGCCGCTCTTCGCCCTCGCCGGCATCGGCACGCACGTCATCGGTACGCCGGCCATACTGTCAACGACACTCAAAGCACAAAAGTTTTGCTCTCCGGGCAAGGAGGGGGTGGGGGTGGGGATTGAATAGATGCCCCCACCTTTCAAAGTTTTTATTTTTATTTTTAATTCTCTCTGTCATTAGGGAAGCAGTACATCAAAATTGACCAGTAAGATTATTGTAGTGAAAATAAATTGTTGGGGGAGAAAAAAGTGAAATAAAAGTCAATAGAAAGTGGAGGGCGGAAAACCGGTCATGAGAAAGTAGATGCAAAATAAATTAGAAAAAAAAATGAAATTGGAAATGAAAAAATTGGCATTGGACGACTCGACATCTATCGATCAATCTAAACACCCAGCCCATAACTTTGACATGAAAAGAAATAAAAATGAACACCAAAAAAATTTCTTTCAAATCGACTCATCTGTTGAATTTGTTCTATGGATGTGCTTTAAACTCTTCTAACGTGTGTGCGCATGGCGGGCCTGACCATAGTGACGGAGTACGCCAACCACGCCCGGGACCACCTGAGGGAGGAGGCGGAGCTAAAGAAGTACGACGGGTGAGTGAGCAGCGTCGCCGCCGTCGAGGCGACACAACGGCCCGGCCGGCGCCAGCCGCTAACGTGCGGCTCCCGTCGTCAGCGTGGTGTGCGTGGGCGGCGACGGCATGTTCAGCGAGCTGGTGCACGGCTTGGTGTGGCGAACGCAGAAGGACGGCGGCGTGGACGTCAACAGGCCCGAGCAGACTCTCATCGCCTGCTCGCTACGCATCGGAATCATACCAGCAGGTCTCCTACTCGCGCCGCTTAGTTCGTTTCTTCTCGGCTTGACTCGATGGCTCGCTAGCAAGTTAGCTGCTTTGTGGTTTAACTGCCCCCCCCGCCCCGCCCCAGGTTCCACAGATTGTATCTGCTTCGCCACAGTGGGCACAAACGATCCCGTGACCTCCGCTCTGCACATCATCGTGGGTCAGTCAGGCAACGCTGTCGAAACGCCAATGTGGTCTTCGTATAACTTAAGTCACCGAGTCACGAGAGTACGTCACGAACTTGGCAGGCGACAGTCAGCCCATGGACGTGAGCTCGGTGCACCACGACGACACCTTCCTGCGCTACTCGGTGTCGCTGCTGGGCTACGGCTTCTACGGCGACGTGCTGACGGACAGCGAGAGGAAGCGCTGGATGGGCCCCGCCAGGTACGACCTGGCCGGGCTCAAGATGTTCCTCACGCACCATCACTACGAGGGCACCGTGACCTACCTGCCCGCCGGCGCCGGCGTGGGAGAGCCCAGGGATGCGTCCAGGTGTCGATCTGGGTGAGGACCCACGCGGGGCAAAACCGGGGGTTCGAGCTTTGGGCTCCAAACTTGGCTTGCAAGACAGGCGGAAACCTTGGAAACGGGAGGTCGGAGTTTCAAACCGGTCTTAGGGCAGACTTCGAAATGAAACTTTCAAGCAACGACGAGTGTTCCAACAAGTCGTGATGGGACCTCGATGAAATGAACACAAATGTTTTGCTTTTCTTTTGCAGCTGTTCAGTTTGTCAGGACAACAAGACACTCTTGTCGGGGAGAGCCAGCGTGGACCAGGCGGACTCCAAGGAGGACAGCGGTAGCTCACACCTTGTTTACATACTGGCTCTCAAAATCAATTCTCTCTTTCGCTCCCTCTCTGTCGGTGGGAGGGGGAATCCTTCGTGACAAAAAATTCGAACAGACTACAATTGGTTACTGGCCTGCGAACCAGACATTCATTCACATGTCTGGTGTACGACGACAAGGCAGAGGGGGGCCGCGGACGGACCTCTGAGGAACGCCGCTTCGGATTGTAACGCCCCAACGCACGTGTGATTCAGATGCAGAAAACGCAGACGCCGGCTGGCGGACGATCCGCGGCAAGTTCCTGGCCATCAACGCGGCCAGCATGAGCTGCGCGTGCCCCCGCAGCCCCAAAGGCCTGTCGCCCGCCGCCCACCTGGCCGACGGCACCGCCGACCTCATCCTGGTGCGCAAGTGCTCCCGCGTCAACTTCCTCAGGCACCTCCTGCGCCACGCCAGCAAAGACGACCAGGTGAGCGCCCCATCGCGCCGTCGCTCGCCGGCGTTCGTCCTCACGTCCGTCCTCACGCCCCCCCCAGTTCGACTTGTCCTTCGTGGAGGTGCACCGCGTGAGGCGCTTCCGCTTCACGCCGCGACACTGCCACAGCGACTCGGACTCGGACCTGGAACTGGACCTGCTGGACGGGAAGCGGCAGATCTTTGGACAGATCTGCCGAGACCACCCGGCCTGCGGCTGCGCGCCCGCCTTCAGCAGCTGGAACTGCGACGGCGAGATCCTCCCGCACACGGCCATCGACGTCAGGTGACGCGGGGCGACTGCGCCTTTGCACACGACCCGCTTTCAGCTTGGCTTGCTTCAAATGTTTCGACGGGCGCCGTCCCAAGTCCGTTCCTGCGGGGCCCCTAACCGGCGGCCTTTTCGTGTCGCTCTCCTCCAACAACACGCCTGATTCGAACGATCAGCTCAACAGCAAGCCTGAAAACGATGCTGATCATTGAAGTTCGGTGTGTTGCGGGAAAGCGGCCCCTTGTCGAAACATTTCGTGTCTGGATTGAAAAAAATAAATTCACCCAATCGATGTCACTTCATTCTCGATTTTTTTTTTTTTTTCTCCCAGAATTTTTTTTTCCCACCCAAAGAAATGAAGGTGAAACAAAATTCAGAATTAAAAAAATATATATAAAAAGATTTGAAAATGTTATTTTTAAATATATCCGGAATATTTTTACCACGGAACTATTTGAGGATCTTCTCGAATTTTTCCTCCCCCAAAATCAAACGCATCCCCCGTTTCGACATTCGCTTTCAAGAAACGTTTTACCTTTCACAAAATTTCAGATTTTGTTCGACTTAATCCTAAAATTCTTTCACAATTTCACATTATTAAAAGAAAATACAATTCATTTAAAAAAAAATGACCATGTAGCTTTATTCAGAAATATGCAACCATTATTGAAAGATGAATATTCCTCCCCTTTAAGGAAAAATATGACTGGAAAAAAAAATCTGTTTTCCTCAAAAATAAGATTGTTTTTGTCTGGGGTAAAAATGGAATTCATTCTATGATCACGACCCCCGCCCAACACAACTTCCTTCCTCAGAGGCGACTTTTTATTTTGAAAGCTTCACACGCAACCCAAAAAAAAAAAAAAAAGATGAAATCCAAAAACGTGACGACTTTCCGCACCCGTTTATTCGCCTTTTGTGGAACTTTTGTGATGTGTGTGTGTTGTTGTTGTTGTTTGCCAGAGTGCATTGCCAGCTGATCCAACTGTTTGCCCGAGGCATCGAAGAAGCGGCCATGTTTGACGAGCTGGCGCCCGCCTGCTCGGCGTAGGCCGACGGAGCCATCGAGCGGGCAGCCGGCCGACCGCCTCGGACCTGCGAAGGGCCCCTCACCGGTCGCAACATCCCTTCCTCTCGGTCGTCTTGTGTTCAAGCGCGTCTGATCGGGTTGCGCTCACGAGGGAAAGTGATCGTCCTGAAGTGTCGCATCCAGGCAGGGTTTTCACTCACTTCAGTCGGGTTCGACTTCAGAGAAGCGGCAGGTCTGACTGTTGCGTCCGAGTCCTACTGAATGACAAGACCAATTTGGTCCCATCTCGGTGTCGAGGTTTTGTCGGCTCTGAATTTGGAGTCGTCCGATTCAAATGCGGTCTGAGGGTTGGTTGGGGGTTTGGCGTTCAGGTCCGCCGCGTTCAGCCAAAGGACAAAAACACCTCAAGTCTAGTTTCATTGTCGAGTTCTACGTGTCGTCGGCTGTCAGTTTGGAGTAGAGTTCAGGTCCGTTCCGTCGCAATGTCAAAGTCCGAATGAGAAGTCCCGGCTCAGGTCTCGGTGGTAAGTCGCCCGGTCGGGTCCGAGTCAGGAGTCGAGTTCGATTTGACCGCTGAGTCTCATCCAGTCCGAATGATCGGTACGGTCTCGGTTTTGGCTCTGTTCATTCGGCTCCCCTTTTGGAATCGGGTTCTGTCTACCGATTTGAAAAGTCAAACCTCAGCGTTGACTTCCGAGGCTATTTGGGTCTGACTGTTGAATCCAAAGTTGGAGGCAAAGGCCTGGACCGGAGTCTCCTCAGTACTGACTCCCACGTTTCGGCGGGTCTGAACTTGGAGTTGAGTTCGGTCTGAGTGACGAGTCCAAATCAAGTCTCGGGGCTTGAGTCCAAGGTCGCGTTGGCTCGGAGCTATGAATGAAGCGAAGGCCTGCTGGTATTCGGTCGAAATGACAAGTCGGACTCTGGCGTGGGTGTTGCTGATGCTTAGTCGGGTTTGAATTTGGAGTCAAGTGAATGTTGACTTTTGCGTCTAAAGTCCTGCTAGAATCTGAACGAATGACCATGTCCACATCAAGTCCAGCTTCGTCGGGTCTGATTTGGGACTTGTGGGCTCTCTTCCAAAGATCTTGTTTGTTTTTTTTCCCCTCCATCTCGTCAATGTTTGTTTTTAATTTATTTGTGTTTGCTCCACGATTGTCGAGAGGACGCAGGATATGATCTGCTGTCAAAGGATTGTAACTTTTTTTGTCCGATTTTTTTTTTTCTCCGTAATATTACATTTTCCCAAAAGTCAGACTTTTTTTTTCAAAAGACGTGACATAAAAAAAAAAAAAAAACTCGAATGTTCGCTTGAAGCGTGACTTTTACTTCAAAGTTTTGAAGTTGAAAGATTCTCATAAGATCGGGACCTCATGAATTGGAAAAAAAAAATCTCCAAAAATGGTGATTTGTTGACTTTGTTCTCATGATTGTTTCGAGTTTATTTCTCAAAAAAATTGTCGTCCTCCAAATAATTTTACTTTTTCTCGTTTAAGATGACAACTTTTCCCCCTAAATAAACTGTAGCCCCCCCCAAAAATGCATTAAAAACATTACTTGCATAAGCAAACTTTTTCATGCGAGAATAACACATTTTTACCTTGATGAAATTGGATTGCATTTATGAAAGTCAGATTTTTATTTTTTTATTTTTCTTTTTTTTTTCATCCAAACCTTTTTTCCCCTCCAAAGATTTATTTTTATTTGTGTATGATTAGGGATTGTTTTTTTTTTTTCTGAATGTTGAATTTAAGTGAAAAAAAAATTTGCGAAAAGGCAATGAGTTTTCATGCTTTTTTTGTGTGTTTTTTTTTTGTTTTTGTTTTGTTTTAGAACGTGACCCTTGGAATGTTTTAATTTGTTAGCGTCTGTTACAAAACCACCACAACGCTCCACAAGAATATGAAACTCCAGGAGCAGATGCAAGTATGCAAAGAAAAAAAAATACAGTAGAATGCTATTCTCAAAAGTATGTGGTTTCTTTTTTTTTCTTTTTTTGGGTGAACAAAAATAGTTGTAGCATTCTGCAAATTAAATCAAGATGTAGGGAAAGCCACCACAAATACAGTGGAGGAAGGTTCCCCGATTTTTTTTTTTTTTTTTTGTAGCCACCGGCGACCGAACACTTTTAGTTGTTTTGTATTTGGTTGTTGATTGACAGCCATCACTGTAGATTGGCAGCTTGTCTCCTCTGCTGTCCTGAGCTGGACTCATGATGATGAGTAGCATTCGTGGCATCTGGTTTTGCTGGTGATGTTTGTGTCCATGTAGCGCCACCTAGTAGCATAGCGGCTAACGCGGTAACAACAACAACAACAACGATATATGAAGACGCTCCAGAGGTTCCACCTGATGTCAAGTTTTGCTTGAACTGTTACCACGGCAACCGCGTTAGCATTGGCTCCCTTTGCATGCTAATTAGCTGTCATTAGCATGCTAGCCACTGGAACTGTATGCAAGTTTGGGACCCCCATGCACTCCTGCCAGCTGTAGCCTCACATTGAAGAAATAAAAGCAAGAAAAGTTTCTTTTTGTTTCTTATTTTCTTTCCGAATGGAAGACGTGGATTGGTTCCGCTCAAAATTCGACAGGCGGTGCCAACTTGGGTTCCCAGACCTTCACTTGTCCCGCATCCTGTGCTACAGCGTTCTTGCAAAAGTCTACACACAACAGCCTATGATGAAAAAATATTTTGGACATTTAAAAAAAAAAAATGGCATCCTAACAAAGAAAGAAAAATAATTTGCGTATGGGTCATCGCATGAGTTTGAAGCGCGCTTCACCTTTTCCACACTGCAGCCTTCTTTGCAATGTGTTAAAAATTTTAAGAAAAAAAAAGAAATCATACACATTACATCCAGTTTAAATTTCCAAAAAATCCCACGCAACAAGAATATTGAGGGTTTTTTTTTTATGTAGATGTGCGGGGAATTGATTCAAAGTGAAGTGTTCAAACCCTTTGCTATAAAGCTTAAAAAAAAAACAGCTCCATGCTTGGATGTCATTCTAAAAGGAAACGATCCACTCTTCGTGAGAATGACGATCTCAAGATGGACGCCGTGACCATATCTGGCCTTTCTGTGCATCTGTCATGTCGTCCTATCTCGGCCGAGCAAACAACGAATCGGCATTTAACAAAAAAAAAAAAATAAATATTAGTCTAGTGTTGTGCAAATCAATCATCTTGATTTGAGCAAACGAGAGGATGTGCGTTAGCCGCTAATTAGTGCCAGTTCAGGAAGTCAACAGAGCAAACGGCCGCCGATCGATGGCATGGAAAAGCGAGTGACGCGCTGGGGTCGATATCGGGTCAATGTTGGGGCCGTACAAGAGCGGACGCGGGCGACACGTCCAACCAGAAAAGCGGACTGCCGCCGCCGGTCTCTCCACTTGAACCTTGAGGTCCAGATCAGGTGAGCTGCTGCTTGGCGCTTTCATTGTCTCCGGCCGGACTGAATTTCAGAGCCGTATTCTTGGTGTGGACCTACGATTAGTGTTTTTAGTATGGTCTTATTAAAACAACAAAAAAAGTAGAAATTAATCTCCAAAAAGAAATGTATTCAAATAAATGGATGGCTTTGTAAAAATAACAAAAATCCAATAAAATAAGATGCATATTTTGGCAAAATTAAATTTTCCTTGGAAAAAAAAGATGTTATTTAAAACAAAACAACAACCCGACAAAATCGGACTTTTTTTGCGTGAGAGGGAGAGGACTTTAATTAAAAATTTAAATTAAAAAAAAAAACACCTTCTGTCACGATTATTTTCTTGCAAGGCTTATTTCAGACAGAACAGTTTTTATCCATAGAATCTGTTGTGTCAGCACAGCTGTTGTGGAGGTGCTTTCGAAATATATGACTTTATTCTTGTAATTGTGAAATTTCCCTCTTCGATGGTTTTCTAAACATAAACCTCGTAAGAAAGGAAAGATCCCCGAACAGCGGGAAGGTTGCGGGGATTCGTCGAGCTTCAGATCCTCACGGGCTGGCCGCTAAACACCTGACCTCACCTGAACAAGCCAAACGGATGCCTCGGCAGAATTGTCCAAAGTCACTTTGGAAAAAAAAACTGGACAGGGTTTCAAATGAGGGTTAGGATGTAAGAGTAGGGTTAAGGTTTCAAAGTAGGGCTTCAAATTAGGGTTTTAAATTGGGGTGAGGGTTTCAAAGGAGGGTCAGGGTTGTGATCGTGACACCGAAGCGTTTTCCTTGATTGGGCAGGGGATGGCGTCATCACCGCTGCTGTGGTTGCTATGGGCGCTCCTCTCGAGAAGCGCCTCGCTTCCGGTCAGGTGAGTGCTCACGTGACGCGGGAAGGGGAAGACGCGGGTGTCTTGACGTGCCGTCCGCCGTCCAGACACGCGGCGGGAGAGGAAGATGAAGCCGAACCGGAAAACGCGCCGACAGCCAGCGGACACCTGAAGGCAGCGCGAGATGACGCCAGACTCAGGTGACGTCATTTACCACAACGGCGCCCCCGCGTGGACACGCGACGAGGCTGCAGGCCGACGTTGATTGAAAGATGGGGGTGCGGTGTTGCTTGTTTTTCTGTATTTTCAGATTCAGATTCAGATTCAGAAAACTTTATTTATCCCCGTGGGGCAATTGGAGTTGTATTTGGGGCAATTGGAGTTGTATTTGTGAGCTTGTTTGTACGCGCGTGTGTTTTGCGCGTTTGGCTCATGCCTGTCTGCGCGTTCGTCTGTTTGCGTGTGCGTGCGCGTGTGTTTGCTCAGGCGTCAGCTGGGCGACGTGGAGTTCTCAAGCCGCTACGCCGACTTCCTTCGCTCCAAAGCCAAACTTTCGTCTGTTTGCTCTTTTCTCAAGCGCATGAAGGCCGCCAGGAACAGGTCACACACACGCACACACGCACACACACACACACGTTGACAAAGACATGCGCAACCACACACAAGACTCAATAGAGACGCACACTCACACGCAAGTGAAAACTTTATTTGCACAGATTTATTCAAAAAAAAATCTTCAAAAAGTGTTCAACTGTTGTTTTTTTCCCCCCAGCCGAACCACATTTGAACATGCACGGAGTTGACGGTCGTCCAGGTGTTAAAAAGACGTGAAGCGGTGAGGTGTGACGTAACGGTGGGCGTGTCATTGCAGTGTGTCCGGCGGAGTGGGCGGAGCTTCGGAGAAGGTGGACGTGCTGCTCAAACGGTTCATGTGCCCGGAGTGACCCACCTGATTAGTGATGATGATGATGATGATTAAAGTGGTTTTGCTCACTCGAGCCTTCCCGTGCTTGTCATTCACTTGCCGCGACAGAACAGCTGGTCTCAAACGACGTCACAGTCTGACGTCGAATTAGGAATGACATGCGTCCTCTTACATGAACATGGGGAGTGCGTATAACATGATGACATCACATTGCACACGCCATTGACGTAATAACGCGGCAAAAGTTAAAAGAAGTCAGATTTCAACCTGGGGTGAGGTTTGCAAAGTGGCGTTAGGGATTTAAAGCAGCGTTTCAAACGAGGCTTTTTTGCTATTATTGGAATTTCAAACTCGTGTTAGGGTTTCAAAGGCGGCTTTTAACGAACGTGGGATTAGGTTTTCAAAGTTGGGTTTCAATGTAGGGTTTGCAGTTAGGGTTTCAAACTAGAGTTTCAAAGTCATGTTATGGTCTCAAAGTAGCATTAGGATTTCAAAGTAGAAATTGAAATTAGGGCGAGGGTTTCAAATTAAGGTTACTCTTTCAAAGTTAGGACGAAAGTGTCAACGTAGGTTTTTAATGCAGGTTTTCAAAGTGGGGTTAGAGTTTGAAAGTAGGGATTCAAATTAGGGTTGGGGTTTTCAAGCATGCCTGTACATTTAGTGTTGGGCTTCGGTTTCAAAGTAGGTTTAGGGTTCCCGAGTAATGTTTTAAATTAGCGTTAGGGTTTCAAAAAAGGGTTTCAAAGAAAGATTAAGGTTCCAAAGTGGCGTTTCAAAGTAGGGCTTCAAATTCATTCATCATTTGACGATACACCGCAATGTACTTTCAAAAATGAACCTGCAGCTGTCACTTTGTAGGCGTAAAAAGCAGGATGTTCAGTCAAATTCAGCTAAAATGAGGCAGAGCTGAAATACTTCCATTTTTCACACTTTCACTTTCAAATTTAGCGTTTCAAACGAGTGTGCTCCCATCTAGTGGTTGACGGTGGAATGACACCCAAAATAGACAGGCATTCGACTAAAATTGTGTCATTAAAAATATCCACAAAATAGCAAAAGTGCAAACTACGAACCTGTATTGAAGGCGGAATAGCCCCCAACCCCAAAAGGTTCAGAAATACAACTCAACCGCTTGTTCGTTACCTCGATTTCGACACAAGTAAGCAAACCGGGGAAAAGAAAAAAAAAAACAAAAAAAACATGAATACGTTATAAAATGTCTCCGCTGACTGTGCAAACAAAAACGTTTATGGCGGGGAAAAGTCCACCCTGCTCGTAAAGGCCAGCCGATAAGCAGACGGTGGCCAGAAGAGAACCGCGCCACCCGACATGGACGCCAGCAGGAATTTCTGCTTCTTCTTTTTGGCGCTTTTGCTCGTCTTTCTGCCCGCCGCAGAAGCCCAAGAACGTGAGTCACGCTCAGATCGTTTGCTACACCGCTCGATTAATCGGATAAATGTCACAGAGCCAAAGTTCGGACCTCGATCGCATTTGCCAAAAGAGTTTTTCTTCCAATGAACTCGCAACAAAAGTTTCCCCCGGGGAAAAAAAAAAAAAAAGTCATGCATTTACATGATCAGTCCAAAAACAAAACAAAAAAAATGTCTGATTGTTTTTTTTGGGAGGTTGTTTAGGCAAAAGGTGAAATATAAAACAAGAGTTCTCATTCCATAATTTGTAGAAAAACATTATTCGGCGCAACTTAAAAAAATAAATAGAATGAAAGGTTCATGACACAAGCATGTGGCATTCACGTGAAAAACAAAAACATCTTTTATCTTTATCTTATTATCGCTATCTTTTTATCATGAATTGGTGTTTTGTGGTGTCGTTTGGGGGATTTTTGTTAAAATCAATCTTTTTGGTGGAATATCTTTTCTGTTTGGAAACCTGCCTTGCGGGGATTTTTTTTTTTTTTGTTGTTGTTGTAGTTTTTCAGATTTTTGTTTCTGTTTCTGGGGGGATTTTATGACTCCCTCAACTTTTCCGATTTTGCCTCTGACATTTGAGAGCATCCAAAACTAGATACACATGTAGTCCTTTCTTTAGCGTTTGTAAATACAGAAGCATATGGTAGTCGACTGAAAAAAAAAACAATCAAACTAAACCTCCATTTTTATCTGAGTCCTTATTTTTTGGCTTGAAAAATAAATAAATAAATAGAAATTTTCAGGGTTTTTTTCCGTTTAAAAAAAAAATCTTTTCAGGTTTTTATTTTCGGAAGAAAAAAATCAGAAAAAAATTCTTAAAAATAAAATTGAAAAAAGGTACTTGGAAAAACAAACAAAAAAAGCAAGGAAAAAAATGTAACATCAAATCTACTTGCCAAAGTTTTTTTTTCCAACTCACAAATTTCAAATGGCAGAAATCGTCACCTCGGTGGGTTTGCGCCATGCCTAACGCATCAATCATCAGTTTGTAGCGCTCGCACGACGGTGAACGTGAAGGAGAACAATGCGGTGGGCGACGTGGTGGAGACCATCACGGTAGCGGACGGGGTCACGGCCTTCTTGGAGAATTCCGCCGACGTCCCATTCACTCTGGACGGGAACCGGCTGGTCGCCAAAGGGGTTCTGGACTATGAGGTGAGCTCGGCCGACCGCCAGGTGACAACCGGTTGAGCGCTTGCCAAAAAAGAAAAAAAAAAAGCTCACGTTTTTTTTGCATTTGCTTGCAGACGAGCCAAATTCACGAGGTCACGGTGAAGTGCAGAACGGAAACGGGCCTCGAGGTAAGCATTCAACCTCCCTCATGCTTACGTGCCGTTGGGACGCTTTACCGTGGTTTTCAATGACGGCTCAAGATGTCGGTCGGTCAGCGGTCATGAGCTGAGCAGGACGCAACATGATTGGCTGCTTGCAGCGTTGAAGAAAAGAGCCGTCTCTTTCAAGTTAATTCAGCCCCGTGCTTTTATTTGCTATTTTTTCCCTTCCTCCACTTCGAGCAGAGAGGGGAGGGGTGAGCGGTGACGGACGGGGGAGGAGAAAAGCGAGGCAAAAGAGGCTTGCCTTTTTGCTCTTTAATGTGCATTGCCCCCTCAGCCCCACGGGTCTGTTCTTAAAATAGCACCCGTGATGGACCACTGGGACTTACGAAGAACAATAGAAACAGAAGACAAATGTTAACATTTTAGTTGAAGTTAACATGGTCTATGTTCCTTCATCTTTCTGGACCAAAAATATAAGCGCCACAAACAATGAGAACTTTTTTCCTCAATAAGACACACACGCACACGCACACACACACACACACACACACACACACACACACACACACACACACACACACACACACCACTAATCAATCCAGTATGATTTCTCAGATGATCCTGATCATCTTGGTACTTGTGCAAAACGTGAACGACAATGCGCCGGAATTTCCCAAGGACACGTACCAGATCCAAGTCAAGGAGGTGAGTGCTTTGCGGTTGTCTGTGTATGTTTGCAAACCAACGCTGACTCGTTCCCATTTGGCATCTTAGCTGATGCCCGTGGGGACCCTCCTTGAGCAATTTCCCGCCACCGACTTGGACGAGGACACTACGCTCTTCTACAGGCTGACATCGGAATCAGTACGTTCTTCTTCTAGCCGAGTGGCTCGCTTCTGGATTTCAGCCTGTTTTTTCTTGTTTGTTTGTTTTCTATTTCTTCAGAATTACTTTGGACTGGCGTCGCCCGAAAACCCGCAACTGGTTATCCAGAATGTTCTGGATTATGACAAAGTCCCAAGCGTAGAGGTGCTCTTGTACGCTCAGGTGAGGATGCATCACCAATTTCACCGCAGGTTTTGTTACTAGCCTTTGAGCGTTTTGTCGCGTGCTCCGTAAAGCGCCTTGGACAGCTGCAGCTGTTGTGAACGCACATGTCAATAAAGTTGAGTGGAGTTGGGTTGAGCTCAACGACTCGTGATGGCAAAACAAAGCTTCACGAAGCACTTGTGTTCTTTGTTTTGACTCCTCTCGATGGTGCTCGGGTTTAAATATAAAAGTGAGTGCAATGGAAATGTCTTAAAATTCCACAGCATCTTTAAACCAAGAGTGCCATCTAGAGGAGTCAAAAACTATCGCAGAAGTGCTTCATGAAGCTTCGGTCGCCCATCGCGACTTTGAACGTTACTCTCTCGGGTCAGGCAGCTCAAAAACAATCGTGGGGGTTCTCTCTTCCGTTTTTCCCGGCACTTCAATGCCATTCAATATGATTTACAGACAATCGGTCGAAGAAAAATGCAAGGCGATTATCTGGTCGCTGCACTCAAGCGAATATTCCGGGAGCACGACCACCCTGAGCTCGTGACAACACTGCACTTACCAGTGGAGTCTTTGCGAGCTAAGAGCTGAGTGCACATTGCAATCGTGCCAGGTCACCGCCAATGGC